AAACCGTCGAGGCTTTCTTGCTTATGAGTGAGCTCTGCCGGGAGGTGGGATGGACTTGGGGGAGGTTGGGGCATCTCAACTTTAACTCTCAGTCACAGGAGCGAAAACCACGAGCGCTGAGGTCAGGCTGCAGAGGTGATGCAGAGATAATTGCCGTGCCGCTCCTGGTGGTGGAGTTGGTTTTCACATTCTCCATCCAAGCCGCGCATTTGGGGGAAACTGGAGCAAGCCCTTGCTCCACGGAGCATTGCTTCTAAAGCAATAAATAGCTTGAGGTGAGAGAGGCGAAACTGATTGTCCCTAAGATGGGACTGCAATAGAAATCCGGGCAGCCCGAACAGGCACCCCGTGCGCCAGCCACCAGCGGGGCCGCCTGGGCGTCGCCGGCTGGGGACCCGCCGCGAGGAGGCGCCGCGAGAGCGCGGGTCCCCGCCCGCGGCCGGAGGAGGGCTACAGCGCCTGGGCCAGCCCCCGAGCCGGCCAGGCGGGCGGGCGCGCGCCAGCAGACGCTGGGCACTGTCACTGCGGGTGCGCCGCGTGCACCGACTGGGGAGGCGGACATCTGGGGACCGCCAGGCTCCGCCCGTGCCCCTTGCCCGGCCGGGGTCCTCGGCTCGTGCTCACGGATAGCAGCCACCGGGGCGGAGAGAGATGTCGCCCGGGGCCAGCCAGGGTCCCAGGGGAAGCCGGGCGCCGCCGATCGCACCCGTCTGCTGCGCTGCGGCCGCGCTGGGGATGCTGCTGTGGTCCCCCGCCTCGCAGGCGTTCAACCTGGACGTGGAGAAGCTCACGGTGTACAGCGGCCCCGAGGGCAGCTACTTCGGCTATGCGGTGGACTTCTACATACCCGACGCCCGCACGTAAGTCGCCCGGCCCGAGGAGGTACGCGCGGGGCGAACGCGAACGCGATCCCGGGTCCCATCCCAGCCACTCCGCCGTGCAGTCCCCGCAGTCTGGGATCCCCGTCCCGCCGCCCTCCCAGGGTCCCGTCCCTCTCCAGCCACCAGCCCCTTCTCTCCCCTGCCATGCTAGATGCGCCTTGCGAACTTTGAGCTAGAGACATGCCACTTGCATAGAACACGCAAGTCCTGGGTGTTCCCGGCACCAAGACGCAAGCATCCTACAAAGGAGAGAACGGGACGCAGAAGACCCAAGCGGGTTAAAGCCGCGACCACAGCGCGGTCTGTTTATGCGTAGCCTGGAACGACTGCGTCTGGGCGCAAGAGCTGTCGGCTACCAGCAGCTGGGCTCTGTCCTTGGCTTCCTCTCACCCCACCCCCTTCTCTCTTCTCACTGCACACACAGAGCTCCACCTAGGGAAGTAGGAGCGTTTGCACTCTTGGAAACCAGGTTGCGGACGCCCATAGGTTTCCAAGAGGAAATCAAGATTGACAGTCGGTCCTCATCATAAATACGTTCCTGTCCCCCACGCCTGACCCAGCGTCCCTGGGTTTGAGGCTGCGGAGACTGCATTGCATGCGCACGCTTTTGTGACGCCCAAGAAGTGACTTTCTCCAACCCTTTTGCAGAGCGAGTGTCTTGGTGGGGGCACCCAAAGCCAACACCAGCCAGCCCAATATCGTGGAAGGAGGAGCCGTCTATTACTGTCCTTGGCCCGCGGAGGGGTCTGCACAGTGCAGGCAGATACCGTTTGACACCACCAGTAAGTGAGATTTGTCCTTCTAAGCTGCGGGCCTGGGTTTAGAAGAACCAGGGCCATTCCAGGGGCGAATTTCCACTGTCTTGGTGCGGTGCTCGTTTCGCCTGCTGGATGTGTCCGTGTTGTGGGTTGTGTGGGTCTCTAGAGAAAATCAGTTTTTTCAACTCTGAGTTAAGTGGAGGTAGATGTTTAGTGAACCCTAAAGAAGGGACACTATTTTGACCCTGAGTGTTTGGACGCATCCTGGCAATTCCTGTTTCCCTACTGTTCTGGGATGAGCATTTTCAGGGTGAGTGGATGTTTTGGAGAAACATGAAAGCTACGTTCTAACCTTGACTGTGGAGAGAATTTGCTTTTCAAGGACAGATCTAGAAAAAGAGAGATCCCTAGCGTTTCCAGTGCCCAAACTCCGGAGGCAGGACGTAGCTGCCGCAGACTCAGACATCGCTCCTTGTTGCTGTTTAATTCTTTACAGAAAGAAAGAATTGTCTTTCAAAATATTAGACATTGGATGTAAGCTAGTGCAGGCAGAGTGTGGATGGATTACATTCATTTCCAAAATCCCTAGACAGATGTTTCTTATTTAATTATAGGGAAAATACATTTTAAACAATTCAGCCTGGTTGTTTCCTCTGGTGTTTTCTCTTTAGAGCCTGAGAAAATAATTTAAATGCAATGCTTTCAAAAACATTAACACTGAGTGCTTTAATTTGTACCACCAAAACTTTATGAAATCAAAAGGTATATGTTATCAGAAAGCAAATATCTCTTTCCAGAAAAATGTGAATATGCCAGCTTGAATATCAGTCTGATAATCTTTTAAAATACCCTTTGCACCACACAACTATTTTATGATTTCATACTTGATTTCTTTGAGTTTTTTAAATTGTTTGATTAGTGTGTATATAGAATTTACACAGAATATTTTCACAGAATTTTGATGAAATTGGCTGGGTAATAGTTACCTGTTACTATATCTAATTTTTATCTTTTATGTTAAAGGCGAAAACAATTTCAGTTCTATAAATATGAAAATCATTTCAAAGCAAAACATACTATACAAGCATTACCTTGAATTATTTCCTAATTACCCTAATTAGGAAAGTTTTTTTTTTTTTTTTTTGTGAGACAGAGTCTCTCTGTTGCCCAGGCTGGAGTGCAGTGGTGTGATCTCGGCTCACTGCAACCTCTACCTCCCAGGTTCAAGCAATTCTGCCTCAGCCTCTCAAGTAGCTGGGACTACAGGCACGCACCACCATGCCCAGCTACTTTTTGTATTTTTAGTAGAGATGGGGTTTCACCATGTTGGCCAGGCTGGTCTTCAACTCCTGACCTTGTGATCCGCCCTTCTCGGCATCCCAAAATGTTGAGATCACAGTCATGAACCACCATGCCCAGCCCAGGAAAGTATTTTATAAAAGCATAAAAAAATTATATTTTTATCATGCCTACCTTTTATGGTCACAATAGCTTATCATTTTATTAAGTAATTATGTTATTTTATACCAGTTTTTATAAGCTTTTACTTTTAAATTTGAGTATTAGCAGCCAGGAAGATTAAACCTTTTGATGCTAATTTGTAACAGAAATCCTTTAATTAGTTGTTTTGTCAAGACTTGAGATACTTTCTAGCTACTACCCTCTGGGTTTAAGAATAAGCTTCCTAAACCAGAAGAATTAAACATTTAAACATGAAATTGATGCCATTTTAATAATTCATGCCCAAATCATTTGTATTTTTGAAAGTATTTTAAGCCCAGGCCAAATAAAGACACGAATCATTGACATTATTAGAATTTACGCTAAGGAAAAGAATCATTTATGTTTTGAGACACAGTTGAATTTAATAAGCTTCTTGTATAGTCTCATACATATCAAATCAGGATCTGATTAGCGTGTTTTTCTTTTGATAAAAGAAGAATCCGTGCCTGCTAAGTTACACCTGACTTACTTTGTAAGTATTCATCCCAATAGGTGTTACAGGCCAACAGATTAAAAACAAGTGAATACATATGTCAAATATGAATTTAAAAAAATTAACCACTCCTAGCTGAAAATTTTCAGTATTAAATTACAACAGGTAGGCCAGGAGTGGTAGCTCATGCCTGTAATCTCAGCACTTTGGGAGACAGAGGCAGGTGGATCACTTGAGATCAGGAGTTCGAGACCAGCCTGACCAACATGGTGAAACTCTATCTCTACTAAAAATACAAAATCAGCCTGGGGTAGGGGTGCATGCCTGTAATCCCAGCTACTTGGGAGGCTGAAGCAGGAGAATCGCTTGAACCCAGGAGGTGGAGGTTGCCTTGAACCGAGATTGTGTCACTGCACTCCAGTCTGGGCAAGAAAGTGAGACTCCATCTTTAAAAAAAAAAAAAATTACAATAGATAATATTTTCCAAAGCTTATTCTAAAGCAATTGCTTGAAGTGTGAATTCACTCTCCCATAGAGAACTAATGCTAAAAGATGTGCTTTGGTTTCTAGAATAGCCCACAAGAATGTACTGAACCCTTATTGTACAGTTGAATAACATTGAATTATATTTGCAGTAAAACAGAAGGGGACAAATGAGAACAATTTTGGCAATTAAATAAATAGAAAAATAATGTTGAGAAAAGATCAGTGTTACTTGGAGAAATGCAATGTCCTCTTTTGTGTAGGTTAGATAACTGGATATCTCAAAGGGCGTTAGAGATTGATGCTGCTCATTCCAAAGTGTGTCTTATTTTACTTCTAAATATATGGGAGTTTCCCTGATAAATAGATGAATGCATTACTCCTGCTATTATACTTATCAACTACAATCACAATAATTTCAGAATTCATAAATGGAACAAAGTGAGGGAAAGAAAGAGGGAGGCAAATAGATGTTCCTGAAATAATTGAACAGGAAATTTTAGAAAAATAGAAAAGCAAGGCTACACAAAGCTTTTGAGAAATGAATGGTCCATGACAGAATGAACAAAGCTGACACCTGGGAAAGACAGGGGGTTCCACTAGGAGAGGAGAAAGGAATTGTTGAGAAAAGAAAGTTCCCCATGTTGGCCATCAGGGGGTACTGTGGCCCCAGAAACCTTGATTGCCAGTGGAAATGGCCTGAAAATGGGTGTGGGGAAAGAAGTCACAGCCCCACAGCCCAGGTGTTTGCTACCCAGTGGGTACCCACCCTCTATACCTCATCTGTGCCAATTTCTTTATCCTTATACCCTCAGAGAGTGGAACTGGCAGTGTCTGCCACTTGATGCAAAGCTCTGCAGGTAAAGAAGGCACAGCAGAAGCCATTGTAGCTATTTCCAACCTGAACATCAGTTTTGTGGACAATGTGGAATGTTAGAACCAAAGATGAAAGGTGGAAACAGACATCTCTGGGTCTGGGTCCTGCCGTCGGTGTTGCCAAAGGCGTCCCACTTAGAGATTGCTGCTATGTAGCAGACACTATACATGCGTTGTTTCTGCTACATAAGACAAATCAAAACAACTATGTAAAACTCATTCTGTAAATAAGGAAACTGATATCAAAGGGATACCTAAGACCATACAGTGGTAAGCGGTAGAAGCAAGACTGGAATAGAGGTCTGCCCAGTTCAAAGCCCGCTTCTTCACCTGCTTTCCTTCCAGAAATGGGAGAGGATTGACCCTAGCAGACTGCAAGTTGAAGATTATAACGAACAGCCAAGGAGCTCTGGAAGGCTCTATTGACCTTCCACCCCCCACGCCGTTTCCCCACCCCAACAGTGGTTTACAAATTCCATTTTAAATGATTCTCCAGAGGAGAGTTGAAAGGGAAAGCCAGTTTTGGTAAAAGCACTGTAGAAGCAGGCTTTGTCTTGGTGGGAATGGTCAGTCGTACATGCCCCTGGTTTGCTCAAACTCCCACAGAATGCCCATTCACAGTCTCTGATAAGCTGCCTCCTGAGTTACTCTCTGCCCAGTGCCAGTAATATATGATTCTCCCCCAAAAAGGAAGAAAATTTCACTGCTTAACTAAGTAGTGGCCCCAAATTGACATCCACATAAAGGAGTGTGATGTGTCAAACATGAAAATGTGTACTGCAAATATTCACCTGTCAAGACGTCAGTGACTTTCCCGGTCTTTTACCCTATTTGTGCTACGACGTCTGAAATCAAGACATCCTAAGTAAATTTCACCTTTCAATGAAGTTGTTTCAACTTGTTCGTGTCCCTGGGGTGTCTACAATTGGGTGATCTGCTCTGGTAACCAAGTAAATTCTCTCAGCTTAGATTTTGAGGGAGACAGCCCTATAATTGAGTCCCAGAATCCAGTTGAGATCCTGTTCCTCATTTATTTAATGTCAATTGCCATTTTCTAAAAACTGCCTTTCGTTGTTGTTTTTCATGAAATAATCATTATTGACTTTTTATCTTACCATATAACTTGATTTTTTTAACACTTCTCACAAATACAAACACACAGGAAGCTTGCAATAGCCCAGCACTTCAAATGCATGAATACTATAAGCATATGTAATGAGGGAGGTGCAGAGAGTAGATCATTTTCCTGCTCTGTACAAAATAAAGGTGTTCCACAAAAGAGCACTTCTCTCATCTCCCTTCTGTCTTTCCCTCTTTACTTCAACAGAAGAAAATTCTTCCCATCACCAAGTTGATTTCTTTCACTTTTGTCTCAGGAACTCTTTAAACTATGCCCCATGTCTTAAACACTTTAAAACATCACATCTGCCTAATTCATGCCTCTCACTTCTGTGTCTACTCCAAGGTTTCCTTTCTTCTTTTGCTACATTTTCCAAACCAATATGTGGGTTAATTAAGGATTGTTAGATTGCAACCCTTCGGCAAAAGGGAGAATGAGGCCGGGCACGGTGGCTCACACCTGTCATCCCAGAACTTTGGGAGGCCGAGGCAGGCAGATCATGAGGTCAGGAGTTTGAGACTAGTCTGGCCAATAAGGTAAAACTCTGTCTCTACTAAAAAATACAAAAGTTAGCCAAATGTGGAGGCACATAGCCTACTCGGGAGGCTG